GGCTACGACTTGGTTGCCATCACGGAAACGTGGTGGGACCAGTCTCATGACTGGAGTGCTGCGATGCCTGGCTATAAGCTCTTCAGAAGGGACAGGCAGCACAGAAGGGGTGGCGTTGTGGCTCTCTATATTAGAGAGTCTTTTGATGTTGTAGAACTCGAGGCTAGGAATGACAAGATCGAGTCCCTTTGGGTTAGGATCGGCAGGGACAACAAGGCTAGTGTCCTGGTCGGGGTCTGCTATAGACCGCCGAACCAGGATGAGGAGACGGATGAGGAGTTCTACAGGCAGCTGGCAGAAGTTGCGAAATCTTCAGCGCTTGTACTCGTGGGGGACTTCAAGTTCCCTGACATATCCTGGAAGCACAACACAGCCCAGAGAAAGCAGTCTAGGAGGTTTCTGGAGAGCGTGGAAGATAGCTTCCTGACGCAGCTGATTAGTGAACCTACCAGGGGTGGTGCCCCGCTAGACCTTCTCTTCACAAACAGAGAAGGACTGGTGGAGGATGTGATTGTCGGGAGCTGTCTTGGGCAGAGTGACCACGAAATGGTGGAGTTCACTATTCTTGGCGAGGCCAGGAAGGGAACCAGTAAAACCACTGTATTGGACTTTCGGAGGGCTGACTTTGGGCTGCTCAGGACACTAGTTGGTGGAATCCCTTGGGAGGCGGTTCTGAAGGGCAGAGGGGTCCAGGAAGGCTGGGCGCTCTTCAAGAGGCAAATCCTAATGGCGCAGGGGCGGTCTGTTCCCATGTGCCCAAAGATGAGCCAGCGGGGAAGAAGACCAGCCTGGCTCAACAGAGAACTGTGGCTTGATCTTAGGAGAAAAAAGAGGGTTTATAATCTTTGGAAAAGTGGGCAGGCCACTAGGGAGGACTATAATGATGTAGCGAGGCTGTGCAGGGACAAAATTAGGAAGGCCAAAGCTCATCTGGAGCTCAGTCTGGCTACTGCCGTTAAAGATAACAAAAAAAAAAGGAGGACTAAGGAGAATCTCCATCCTTTACTGGATGCGGGGGGAATCTTAGTTACAAGAGATGAGGAAAAGGCGGAGGTGCTCAATGCCTTCTTTGCCTCAGTCTTTAGTGGCAATACTGGTCGTTCTCTGGATACCCGGTACCCTGAGCTGGTGGAAGGGGATGGGGAGCAGGATGTGGCCCTCACCATCCACGAAGAAATGGTTGGTGACCTGCTACGGCACTTGGATGTGCACAAGTCGATGGGGCCGGATGGGATCCACCGAAGGGTACTGAGAGAACTGGCAGAGGAGCTCGACAAGCCGCTTTCCATCATTTATCAGCAGTCCTGGCTATCGGGGGAGGTCCCAGTTGACTGGCGGCTAGCAAATGTGATGCCCATCTACAAGAAGGGCCGGAGGGCTGACCCGGGGAACTACAGGCCTGTCAGTTTGACCTCAGTACCAGGGAAGCTCATGGAGCAGATCCTCTTGGGAGTCATCATGCGGCACTTGCAGGGCAAGCAGGCGATCAGGCCCAGTCAGCATGGGTTTATGAAAGGCAGATCCTGCTTGACGAACCTGATCTCCTTCTATGACAAAGTGACGCGCTGGGTGGATGAGGGAAAGGCTGTGGATGTGGTCTACCTTGACTGCAGCAAGGCTTTTGACACCGTCTCCCACAGCATTCTCCTCAGGAAACTGGCTGCTCTTGGCTTGGACTGGCGTACGCTTCGTTGGGTTAGAAACTGGCTGGATAGCCAGGTCCAAAGAGTCGTGGTAAATGGAGTCAAGTCCAGTTGGAGGCCAGTCACTAGTGGCGTTCCCCAGGGCTCGGTGCTGGGGCCGGTCCTCTTTAATATCTTCATCGATGATCTGGACGAGGGCATTGAGTGCACCCTCAGTAAGTTTGCAGATGACACCAAGTTAGGTGCGTGTGTCGATCTGCTGGAGGGTAGGAAGGCTCTGCAGGAGGATCTGGATAGGCTGCACCGATGGGCTGAGGTCAACTGCATGAAGTTTAACAAGGCCAAGTGCCGGGTCCTGCACCTGGGGCGCAATAACCCCAAGCAGAGCTACAGGCTGGAAGAGGAATGGTTGGAAAGCTGGCAGAGAAGGACCTGGGAGTGATGGTGGACAGTCGGCTGAATATGAGCCAGCAGTGTGCTCAGGTGGCCAAGAAGGCCAATGGCATCCTGGCTTGTATCAGAAACAGTGTGGCCAGCAGGGCTAGGGAAGTGATCGTCCCCCTGTACTCGGCTCTGGTGAGGCCGCACCTCGAGTACTGTGTTCAGCTTTGGGCCCCTCGCTACAAGAAGGACATCGAGGTGCTTGAGCGGGTCCAGAGAAGGGTGACGAAGCTGGTGAGGGGCCTGGAGAACAAGTCCTACGAGGAGCGGCTGAAGGAGCTGGGCTTGTTCAGCCTGGAGAAAAGGAGGCTCAGGGGCGACCTTATTGCTCTTTACAGATACCTTAAAGGAGGCTGTAGCGAGGTGGGTGTTGGTCTGTTCTCCCACGTGCCTGGTGACAGGACGAGGGGGAATGGGCTAAAGTTGCGCCAGGGGAGTTTTAGGTTAGATGTTAGGAAGAACTTCTTTACCGAAAGGGTTGCTAGACATTGGAACAGGCTGCCCAGGGAAGTGGTGGAGTCACCGTCCCTGGACGTCTTCAGAAGATGTTTATATGTAGAGCTTAGGGATATGGTTTAGTGGGGACTGTTAGCTGTGAGGTTGGACTCGATGATCTTGAGGTCTCTTCCAACCTAGAAATTCTGTGATTCTGTGTGATTCTGTGATTTCCAGTGAGTCTGGGCAGAGTCCGATCTGGCAGAAGGACAGAACTCGATCTGTCTGAGGTGTGGGCTCCTGCACACCTTGCTGTCACCTTGGCAAGCCACCAGCTCCCTCAAGAAGAAAGCCCTTCTGCAGGAGAGGTTCAGACCTGGGAAAGTTGAATCCAAAACCAGAAATGCCCGCAAAGGCGCTGGGAACTGAGGAGCTTGGCAGTAACGCAAGAGCAGTAATTGCAAGAGCAATGCCAAGCAGAGTGCTGTTGCCCTGGGGACAGCCTGCATGGGCTTTGCCTTTTGGATTATCACTGGCAATTTCCCTGGCTGTGGGAGGGAGCGCTGTCAAAGGTAGCAACCGCTGCGTTCTGTTGCGGGATATTCATTCAGTACAGCTGGGCAGCTGGTCCGAAGGCAGAAAAAGAGTTGCAAGGGCAATGCAGACAAAACCATTACAGTGGAAACCGGTTTGTCCTGCTCACTGACCGCATTCAGTGCGGGCCATGAAGCGCACCCAACTGTGACAGGTTGGACTTGCCCCACCTTGTTCATGCTCTCTCTCTCCCTTCCCAGCTTCTGCAGTCGAGGCTTCACCCATTGTCTCATCCACCTCAAGCTCCAGTGCTAGGAATAACAGTGGCAGGGTCTGCACCATCAGAGCAGACGTCAGCCTGGAGACCACCGTGCTGCCGGCCGCCTTGAAAGGTGAGGGGCTGAGTTCGCAGATGTGCTGGGGTCCTTTCCTGGGGTGCACGTGAGAGAGGGGCTGGGCATCGGCATGCTGCAGAGGCACCCTCTCAGCCTGGGGGGCCCTGCCAGGAAGGCAACTCTGGTCTGAGCAGAAAGAGCTCTGTGCTTAAGGACACAGATGTCCCCCTCCGGGCCGTGGGCCATCTGTGAGGCCCACAGCAGTTGTGGGGAGCTCCAAGTCCAGCTCTGAGGTGGTGAACGCGCTCTCTGCTCTCTGTGTGCGCTGCTGGGCGTCAGCCTAGTTCAGCTCTGGTAGGTCGCATCACGGGTCACGTGTACCCGCAGGATCGTGCCCTCCCCATCCGTGGTGGAGGAGCGCTTGCGCGCTTGAGCCTCTCTTATCCCTGGGCCTTGTGGCCTGTGGTTGCAAGAGGAGTGGAGCCATCTTGAAGACGTTCCCCTGGGCTGAAATTGCCCAGCAGGTGCCATCCTGAGGAAGAGAGGCCAAAGTCTACCCTGTTTCCTGTGGTGGTACTGTCCAGCCTCTCCAAGCTCAGGCTCCGGGACACAAAAGAGAGAGACGTTTTGCTTCTTCTTGACAGAGATTGCGCTGGCTGAGCTGGACCGGATCACGCTGCAGAAGCAGATGGTTTTGAAGTTTGCAGCCATCATAGGGCCAGTGTTTATCACCCAGCTGCTGGCTCACATCCTTCCCACTTGCACCAGACATCAGATGAATTATTTGTTGGACATGCTGGTGAGTGACAACATCCTTAAGTGGCTGAAGGACACAGGGGTGCCCAGAGACATCCAAGACCCAGGAGCGCTGTAGCTGAAGGAGGCCTTCCCCCACCAGCTTTGTGCAGAGGGAAGTTCCCAGCGGCTGTTGGGAATGCCTCTACCACTCTGGCTGAGGCCACCATCCATTGCCTTTCAGGGGTGGAGAGGCCGTCTACAAGCAAGGAGACCATGGAGCAGCAGGCTGGCGTTCTGGCCTTCTGTGCCCTGCTGCTGCGGGAGGCAGCCTACGAGCTGTGGCCCAAGAGACAGAGGGCCAGCACGCAGCGCAAGTGTGCTGCCTTCCTGGAGAAGCACGCGCACAAATGCCAGAGCTGCCACGGAGGGGACTTTGTGGCCTTCCACCGCTTCGCCGTCCCCAGTCCCCAGGACCGGGAAAACTGCCAGGGCTCTGCTGACGAGGATGACTGGCACAGCTGGGAGGCCTTGGTGCTCTCTGGAGAACAGCTGAAGAATGACAGTACTCACAGCCCTGAGGGTAGTCTGTGTGCCGTGCTGTGGAGCCCCCTCCCTCTGTAAGTCCAGGCCCATGCAGGCTGGGCTGGGGCCCACCGGGTCCCCAGCACCAGGGATAAGCCAGGGGACGAGGATGATCACCGCAGCTCTTGTGCCCTGGGTCTGCTCGGCAGGACCCTTGCAAGCCTGCAGCTCTTAGCCCGGGCTACGTGGGGAGTCCCTTGACACGCTCTCTTCTTCCCAGGTAGTTCAAATGCCCTGCAGCCGCAGCAGGCTTTCTCGGAGGAGGAGTTCAGGTGAGGAGACAAGGTTCTGATGATTGTGGAAACGAGTGAGCTCGAGTGAGCAGGGTCATCTCAGGTGATGCTCATCTGCTCTTTGCTCTCTTCTTTTCCTGGCAACCTGCCTCTGACCAGAGCGTCAGAGCGGTTTCCACCAGAGGGCAAATGGACAACTGCGCAGCCCAGCAGGACCAAAGAGAAGGACGGTGGCGAGTGTTCCTGCAAATGCGAAACCGTCATTGAATCAGTGCTTATGCCTTTGGCTCGCCACTATGTGGCAACGGGCAATGCTTCCTGAGCCTTCTACTACCTGCTGGAGTGTGCGGCTGCCTACCTGCACGTCTCCAACAGCTACATGGTGAGCGACCCTGCTTGCCAGCACGCACTGAACCTGGAGTCCACTGCAACAGGACACGCCCGCTGAGGGGCCTCCCAAAAGAAACAGTGGGGGCAGAGCCGGACTGTTTCCTGCGCTTTGCCTCTCCCACAGCAAGAGACGTGGGGCACTGAAGCAGGCCCGTCAGCACAAGCTGCATTACCTGGGAGGCAGTCTGAAGGCTCCCTTGGTGCCTGAGCTCTGAGCCCACGGGGCACTGTGCTAGGGCAGGGATCACATGGGGAGATGCGGGCCCTCCTAAGGCAGGTGCCACAGGAGGCAAGAGGGAAGGGTGGAGCTAGCTGGGGGCTCTGCACCGATGCTCACCTGCTGCCTGTGTGCTTGCTCAAAGGCCCTTATGAAGCTCAATGAAGCAGAGGTCCTGAGGAACTCCATGGGGAAGACAGCAACTGTGTTAGACTGCTTTGAGGAGGCGACCTTCTTCAGCCTCAAAGCGGAGGTAAAGCGGCAGGGTGACGTCCTTCTTGCAGGGGGTGTCCCTGCTATACCCAGCCCCTTGTACATTTCTGTTGCAGGAAGCACGGCCGAAAGCACGACAGACACACAGTAGAGTCAGATCATGCTTCATTTTATTGCCCGAATAGCCTAACTTTTATAGAGAACTTAACAGGGGTGGACAGTGTTTCACACAAGGTTATTGGTCAAAGCACTCAGAAAAACAACTAGAAGAAAACAACCCCACCTGCAAGATAACAGTCCCCTTGTGATTAGTAGTCACGTAGACCTTGTCTTTGGTATCAGCTGCTGGTAACGATATTTTCCTGCACTCCTCAGTTGGGCGATGTGGGAACATTGTCATAGGAGCTTCTCACAGTTATCCTGGTATCTTGGTTTGCTCAGCTGCAGCAGGCCGTGGGATCTATGCTGTTTCCAGATTCCCTCAACACATTTCTGCAGCCTCTGCAGGAGGAGAGGCTTGGGAAAGCGGTCCATGTCTTCATGGCTTCCTCTTCCTGTGCAGGTCTGCTGTAATCTAGGACGCGTGGGGCTGGCCAAGAAAATGACCAGGCAGGTGCTGAGCCTTCTGAAAAAGCGTCCTCAGACACACTCCGGAGTCTTTGTCAAGTCTCTGTGGGAAAGGTTTCAGGGTGCTCTTTGTGACACAAACAGAAGAACACCCTCTCTTCTGCTAGAGGCTCGGTAAGCATCAGAATGGAGAGCGTGGGAAAGGAACAGTATTCTGGTGCCAGGCATTCAGGCCCAGGCCTGCCTGGACTTCAGGCCACGCCTAAGCTGTCCCATAGCTCATTAGCAGGACCGAGGCATTAAGGCACGATGTGTGGGTCAAACAGGGGCCAGTGCAGCCTCACGCTGCCCCCCTGTGCAGTCCCTGGGCCTTTGCATAGAAAGCAGCTTGTGCCGAGGGATGCACCTGCTGGCACGTTTTGGATGAGGCCGGGGTGGCTGGGAACAGAGAGATGTGAACAGGGAGGACGGGCTTAACAGGGGAAGGAAGGCAGTGACCTCAAGGGACAGGATGGGGTTGGGTTAAGGTTGGGGGGATGATGAGGAGAAGGCTCAGAGTTGCGATAGTCCTTCTCCTGCTGGTGCCTGGCATCACTTCCCCCCCAGTGCTGTCGTGCCAACACACCCTCTGTAGTGGTTGGCTGCCCCTGGCAGCACTTCTTCATTTGCCCACTTCCATGCCGGCAGCCCTTCCAGCACTAGCTCCCTTCCTCTGAGGAGGTGTACGTGTCTCAGCTGCCACCCCACTTTCCCCTGCCCAGTCTGGTTTGGTGCTCTACAGCCGTGCCTCTGGGCTCAGCAGTTTCTCTTGTGTGTCAGGAGGAAGAAGCTAGCCTGGATGCTTCAGCAGACCCGCTGCCTCTCCTTACTGGGGCACCTCTACAGCCTGGAGGGCACATCAGGAGGACGGAGGTTCTCCCGCCTGGCAGCTCTCATGAAAGCCAACGTGGACAGGAGAATGGACTCCTCTCAGGAAGAAGACTCCCACCCCGAAAACTGCCTTTCCATCCCTGCTTTTCTCAGTGTGTCTTAGTAAAACATCTGTTCTCTTATGGTGGTGGTTGTCAGGCCTTGCCAGGGAAGGTTCAGGTTGGAAATAAGAAGAAAGTTCTCAGAAAAGGAGAGCTTGCTCCCCCAGCAAGAGACGCGGGGCACTGAAGCAGGCCCGTCAGCACAAGCTGCCTTACTGGGGAGGTGGTCTGAAGGCTCCCTCGGTACCTGTGTGGGCACCTGGAGAGAGACAGCATGAGCAGGATGGGATGTTGGAAGCTGCCATAGTGCAGAGCGAGCAGAGGAGGGGAGGGCCACGGTGGGGGGGGGCGTTCCAGAGTCCCCGCAGGGTCAGGTGGGCTGCTCCGTCCCGAGGCGTGCTGGGAGCTGTAGTTCTGCGGTGCCAGGTGGCCACATGGGCTCCGGGGTGCCGGCCCAGGTCCTTGCTGCGCTTGATCGTTGGGCTGCTCCTTGTTGTGAAACATGGGATTAGAAATTAGAGAGCGATGGATTAAGAATGAATATGTAGGCAACACTCCTTGCTTAATATGTGCTACTGAGATGGGGAAGATGCTAAAACTTTTCTGAATTAATATTTACAGAATCACAGAATTTCTAGGTTGGAAGAGACCTCAAGATCATCGAGTCCAACCTCTGACCTAACACTAACAGTCCTCCGCTAAACCATATCCGTAAGCTCTACATCTAAACGTCTTTTAAAGACCTCCAGGAATGGTGACTCCACCACTTCCCTGGGCAGCCCGTTCCAATGCCTAACAACCCTTTTGGTAAAGAAGTTCTTCCTAACATCCAGCCTAAAACTCCTTGGCCACCTGAGCACACTGCTGGCTCATATTCAGATCGACACACACACCTAGCTTGGTGTCATCTGCGAAATTACTGAGGGTGCACTCAATGCCCTCGTCCAGATCATCGATGAAGATATTAAAGAGGACCGGCCCCAGCACCGAGCCCTGGGGAACGCCACTAGTAACCGGCCTCCAACTGGACTTGACTCCATTTACCACGACTCTTTGGGCCCAGCTGTCCATCCAGTTTCTAACCCAACGAAGCGTACGCCAGTCCAAGCCAAGAGCAGCCAGTTTCTGAGGAGAATGCTGTGGGAAATGGTGTCAGAAGCCTTGCTGAAGTCAAGGTAGACCACATCCACAGCCTTTCCCTCATCCACTAAGCACGTCACTTTGTCATAGAAGGAGATCAGGTTCGTCAAGCAGGACCTCCCTTTCATAAACCCATGCTGACTGGGCCTGATCGCCTGCTTGCCCTGCAAGTGCCGCGTGATGACTCTCAAGATAATCTGCTCCATGAGCTTCCCTGGCACTCAGGTCAAACTGACAGGCCTGTAGTTCCCCGGGTCTGCCCTACGGCCCTTCTTGTAGATGGGCGTCACATTTGCTAGCCGCCAGTCAACTGGGACCTCCCCCGATAGCCAGGACTGCTGATAAATGATGGAAAGCGGCTTGTCGAGCTCCTCTGCCAGTTCTCTCAGTACCCTCGGGTGGATCCTATCCGGCCCCACCGACTTGCACACATCTAAGTGCCGTAGCAGGTCGCCAACCATTTCTTCGTGGATAGTGAGGGCCACATCCTGCTCCCCATCCCCTTCCACCAGCTCAGGGTACTGGGTATCCAGAGAACGACCGGTATTGCCGCTAAAGACTGAGGCAAAGAAGGCATTAAGCACCTCCGTCTTATCCTCATCTTTTGTAACAAGGTTTCCCCCCGCATCCAGTAAATGATGTCCATTTTGCATTGATGGATTTAGCTACATATATGGTAAAATATCCAAATTATCTGTGATGTAGACGAGAACCTTATGAGCAGCAGATGTAAAAAGGAAGATATCGCTCAAGGCCAACGGGTGAGGGAAGGATGAACAACTTGTTGTCAGGAAACAAGGTAAAGATAAACAAAAAACTTCTAAATACTGTCCAACAGCAGGTCAAAGTCCAGAAAGGTAAAGAGAGTTTAACCTGCTCTTCCTCATTGCCTTCATCCTGAAAGACCCCTGCCCACGACCACCAGGCTACACTGCGCAGGTGCAACTGGGAGGAGCTAAGGGCGGGGAGTATGGAAATGAGTACTTGGAAGAGGTCTGCCTTTTGGGGGAAAATAAAGAATATGTATGAGAGCTCATGTAATATGTAACAGTATACGTGTATGAAGTTGTGAGAGACGACCGGGCAGGTGTGCACTTTTTGAGGGAAGCTTGTAATACACCATAAATGTTTGTTCATTGTCTTTTGTATTATAAAAATATAAGTTCTGTTTGAGGAGCAGGAGTTGTGAAAGCTCCCTGCTGAAGTAAGGAGCTGTATAATGCTTGGCTAGACACTATGAAAATTCTTTTGCTTAATGTAATAAAAAAGAGAACCCCCTCCCCTTCTCTCTTTCTGTATCTCAGTTGCCTCTTTTGTTCAAAGACACTGTTGCAAAGCTCATGTAACCATCTCCTGATAAATTGCTAAACTAGTGTATCAACATCCTGCCTTCCTGTCTCATGCTGGGGCAACATGACCAAATAAAAAAAAAAAAGTTGAACCACAACGCTGAGGAAGACTATGGCCTTCATCTTTACAACCACCAGAGGGACAGAGACGACCCGCTAGCAACTGTGCGCGCAGTCGCAGAACATACCAGGATGTGCTGCATAATCCCAGAATTACCAAGATATAAAAAGGGACCCTGGCGGTGGTGAGGTGCACACAGTTGGCGGAGCCGAGACTCCCCGGCCGCCCAGCACAGTTTTGCTTGCTGTTTGCTTACTCAATAAATTCCTTTCTATGATTAATACAATGCTCTCTGAAAATTAATTGAGGGGGCAACTTATGAGCAGCAGATGTAAAAAGGAAGATATCGCTCAAGGCCAACGGGTGAGGGAAGGACGAACAACTCATTAGGGAAGGATGAACAACTTGTTGTCAGGAAACAAGGTAAAGATAAACAAAAAACTTCTAAATACTGTCCAACAGCAGGTCAAAGTCCAGAAAGGTAAAGAGAGTTTAACCTGCTCTTCCTCATTGCCTTCATCCTGAAAGACCTCTGCCCATGACCACCAGGCTACACTGCACAGGTGCAACCGGGAGGAGCTAAGGGCAGGGAGTATGGAAATGAGTACTTGGAAGAGGTCTGCCTTTTGGGGGAAATCAATGAATATGTATGAGAGCTCATGTAATATGTAACAGTATTCGTGTATAAAATTGTGAGAGACGACCAGGCAGGTGTGCACTTTTTCAGGGAAGCCATTCCCAGTGCGCCCAGTGCACCGCAATAAAGTGTACCTACTTTACAACCCTATGGTTGTGGAGTCTTTTCCGCACGTCACCTGTGTGCCCTCACACCCTCTTGGGACCACCCTGTGGCTCTGTGGTGTGTCCCAGAGCGCCAGTGTGCCTGAAGGACCTCCCTTTGTCTTCATGGGCACACCAGAGCCTTGCCTCTCCCACTCAGTGGCCAGAGCAGCCATGGATGTGACCTGGTAATCCTGGGAGACATTCTGACAGCAAAGGTCTGCTAAAACACTGGCAGACGCAACTGCCAGTCAGCCTGCAAACTGCTAATCCTTGAGAAGGCCCAAGTGGCCCCTTGGAACTTTGGCTGTGCACCTAAGAAGCAGAAACCTCCTGAGCGACCACTGATAAAGGCAAAAAGGAGGAGCTCTAACAGCAGTTTATTGTCTGAAAAGGTGAATATACTTTGGGAAAGTATGGACATGGACACCTTCTGGGCCACTTTCCCTGCTTGTTCTACCCTGACCCCACAGCTTTTAGAACAGGGAGAAGCCCCTGTCTGCAGGGTCTGCAGAGAAACTCCTATAATTTGAGTTGTTTGGCCTGTGAGGAACATGATCTCCACACAAGGGTGCCTTCTGGTTGCTATTTAGCAATCTAGAAAGTTCTCTAGTGCCACATAGGAGTAAATAACACTGTCAGCCTTCAGCTTGGAGGCAGATATGGCGATGGCACCCTAGTATCCTGCCAAGTGTTTCCATCACAGCTAACTTCTTTTGTTGGTATCAAAACTTACCAATTCTTTTGTGATCTCTTGCTAATCATTAATCCTTCCTGTGATAATACTACCCTGGCCACACCGCTGAGTGTGTGAGGCACAGATGCTCTCTCCCACTTTCTGCACTTTTTGGCATATCACATTTACATCCTTTCCCTCACGCTGAAATCTCTTTCAGTGCCAGGAAGTGCTTTGCAAAAAAGCCTCTACATTGCATTTTCCGTCCTTCTGAAAAACTGGTCACACATCCAATAGACAGAGAGAGCGAGCACAATTTAGAGCACATCCAAAAATCCTGCCCATAGGGAGACATTAGAAAACACCTGCAACTTTGGCTTTGGAACTGGAAATGGCACATTTTCAGAGTCCTGGGGTGACTACTGTCATCATGTGCTCTGATCTCACCGCCTAGTCCTGCTGGCCACGCTAGTTCTCATGCTGGCCAGGATGCCATCAGCCTTTCTAGACACCTGGGCACACTTCTGAACTTCACGTTCAGCCAGCCATCAACCAGCATCCCCACGTCCTTTTCTGCTGGGCACACTTCCAGCCACTCTTCCCCAGGCCTATGCGGCTGCATTAGGTTGCTGTGAACCAAGAGCAGGACCCAGCACTTAGCCTTGTATAGTGGCACGAGATTGAACTCAGCCCATCGATCCTTTAACCCGGCTGGCAGCTAAGCACCACACAGGTGCCTGTACTGGGCTGGAGTGGCCGCAGGGGCTGGAGTGGTAGCAGTGCTGCACCTGGCCCTTGCTGGGGAGGTGCAGCAGCTGGGGAAGGCATCTGCCAGAGGGTTCAGTGCTCGGGCAGAGGTGTGGGGCAACCACCAGCTCCGGCACTTCATGCTGCTGGGGCTGCAGGACAGAGGTCCTCCAGAGCTGCTCATCTGCAGCCAAGGCCAGCAGGCAGGTGAAGTGCTGCAGTCACTGAGGCACCAGGGCAGGAGGCAGCCAGGGACACCACGCATGGGGACCCCAGCAGGCTGTTCCCTAGGGCCTGGGCTCCAGAGCCCGCCACCGCAGACACAGGGCCAGACCCCTGCCCTGGCTGCGGCTCCCTTCCCAGGCTGGTGATGATGTTTTTTTTCTTTCCCTCGATGATGTTCTTTAGCTTCTCCTCACGTCCATCCATCAAGTGCTGCCCAGCAAGCCCTAGGTGAGGAGCCACAGTCCTCAGGGGCTGCCTTTGTGTGACAGAGGGGGGCACTCCTGGCTCCAGCAAAGCCTCATTAGCTGCCCTCGTGAGGGCTGCCGGCTTCTGGTGGTTCCCTCAGCTACTTTGATGGCTGCACACTGTGATCCCCACTCC